GGCCATTGATGTACTTCAAGGCCTCATGATCGGTAAACAGAATAAACTCCTTCTGTACTAGGTAGTGACGCCAATGCTTCAGGGACTGAACTATGGCATAGAACTCCAGATCATAAGTGGAATAATTTTTCTTTGATCCCGATAGCTTCTCACTGAAAAAAGCTACCGGACGACCTGCCTGACTCAGAACACCACCAATGCCAACGCCAGATGCATCACAATTTACCTCGAACACTTTGTCAAAATCTGGAAGTGCCAAAACTGGAGCCTCGGTCATCCTCTGCTTGACCAGTTGAAAACTGGCCTCTGCCTCCTCAGACCACTGGAAATCACGCCCCTTGAGGCACTCTGTGATAGGGGCGATCAGAGTACTGAAATTTCTAATGAATCGACGGTAAAAAGACGCCAAGCCATGGAAACTTCGGATGTCATGTAAGGTTCTTGGTCTGGGCCACTCCAAGACTGCATCTATCTTTGACTGATCTGCATGAACACCATCAGTAGACACAATAAAACAAGAAAAGTCACAGAAGTAGTGAAGAAAGAACACTTCTTTTGATTGACAAACAAGCACTCCGTTTTCAGCATCTCAAAAACAGCACGGAGGTGATCGAAGTGTGAAGTCCATGTCGGACTATAAACGAGGATATCATCGAAGTAAACTACAACAAATTTCCCCATAAAAGGCCGCAAGACCTGATGCATAAATCTCATGAATGTACTGGGCGCATTGGATAACCCAAAAGGCATGACCATCCACTCATACAACCCTTGTGGCATTTTTAACGCCGTCTTCCACTCATCTCCAGGCCTTATTCTGATTTGGTGGTAACCGCTCTTAAGGTCAATTTTTGAGAAGATCTTAGAACCAGATAGCTGATCCAACATATCATCTAGACGGGGAATTGGAAACCGGTACTTCACTGTAATTCTGTTGATCGCTCGGCTGTCAACACACATACGCCAAGAACCATCTTTCTTTGGCACTAACAGAGCAGAGACTGCACATGGGCTCATACTCTCTCGGATATAGCCCCTCTCCAACAACTCTTCCACCTGTCGCTGCAACTCTTCGGCCTCCTTGGGACTGAGGCGATATGCTGGTCGATTTGGCAAACTTGACCCAGGAACAAGGTCAATTTGATGCTGAATATCCCTCATAGGTGGTAGTCCAGGAGGAAGATCCTCTGGCATCAAGTTAGAGAATTCAGCTAGCAATCGCTGCACCTCTACTGGTAAATCTGTATCCACGTCTACTGCATTGTTCTCGCAAGGTAGCAAGGCATAGACCACGTCGCCATGCTCAATCTCATCTAAAAACCTGGACATAGAAAGCAGATTAGTATTATGGGTTACTGGGGTAGGAGTAAGTCATTCCCGCCGGGGTGCCAACACAATCTTTTTTCCCTTGATGCTAAGGGAATATGTATTCTTCCGTCCATCATGAATGACACTGCGATCATACTGCCAAGGTCGACCCAACAATATATGACACGCATCCATAGACACAACATCACACCAGGCATTATCAAAATATTTTCTACCAATTGAAAAAGACACGAGGCATCGCCTATCAACTGTTACCTCACTGTCTTTATTTAGCCATGACAACTTGTATGGCTTAGGATGACGGTCCGTCTTCAACTGCAATTTCTGGACAACCTCCTCGGACACTACATTCTCACAACTGCCGCTGTCAATGATCATTTTGCAGACTTTATCTGCAACTGTGCAAGTCGTGTGGAAAATATTGGTTCTCAACCAATCGTCCCCTGAATCGCCCTTGGGGGTAAGTAGACTCTTGCGAACGACCAGAGTCTCATGACCATCTCCATACAGCACATCATCAGTCCCATCATCGTCATACACGGGTTCGCCAATCTCCTCAGTCTCGTCTTCCACGTTTTCCTCAATCAACAAATTTTTGCCCTTTTGACTAGCAGGCTTCCTGCAATCAGTCGCCCTATGCCCTTGTTCACCACAACGAAAACATCTAATAGTAGGGTTAGAATTACCCTGCGGTGGCTGCTGAGCAGGACGGGACTCTTGCGGGCGAACTGGTCGACTGTTGTGATCGCTCCTGATCACTGGTCTCCTGTTTTGCTGTTTTTCAACAGCAAGTGCACGCTGGTATGCTTCCGAAACACTCCACAATGAATGAAGGCTGAGGACATCTTGAAAGGGCTGGCGTAAACCCCCCAAATATCGCGCCACCATCTGCTCCTCCGTCTCAGATAAATCGTTCCGGGCGACCAATTGGTAAAACTCCTCCGTGTAATCATCGACTGATCGCGCGCCCTGCCTCAACGCATGAAGTCGCTGAAATAAGGTTTGCGTGTAGCCGAAGGGAAGGAAGTGGCCCTTCATCTTCTTTTTCATCTTCTCCCAATCAGTGATCTTGGCTTTGCCCTGTCTTTCTCGTGAACGTCGTAATTGTTCCCACCACGCAGATGCTCTGCCCTTGAGTTTGATGGCGATCAGTTTCACTTTCACACGATCGGGGACTTCCTTATATTCAAAAATACGCTCCACTTCATTAATCCAATCCACGAATCCCTCGGCCTGTAATGTACCAGAAAACTCAGGGAGATCGACCCGAAAACCGAGGTCTCCATGACGCTCATCCCGACCACGGTGCTCCCGGAATCTTGCGCCCCGGAATCCTGCGCGATTGTGATATGGGTTTTCGAAAGTGGAATTGGTATCGTGATCAGAGGCCTCACGATCCTCTAAATCCTGCGCCGCCAGGCGCTGGGTTAATTCTGCGACTTGCCTCTGCAAATCCGCAATCATCACATCCTGAACGCTGCGATCACGGCATTGGGCTTCCTCATTTGGAACCTGCTCACGACGACCACGACCACGACCTCCAGCCATTGAAACTGGTGAAATTTCCTAAGAAGATGTTGAAGCTCTGACACCAACTGACGCCAGACAGAATAGTGATTATCCTGTAGGCTAGCTCCGACAGACGATTCACAAGAGAAAATTCTCCCAAAAACCAAAGAAAAAAGTCTCTAGGGTTTAATAAAATATTATAAAATCAAAACTATCAAAAAGCAGTCCACAAGCCGGACTGTTATAGCAAAAAAATCATCTTTATTCGAATTTTGCCAAAAATAGCAAAATCCCGAAAATCACTCTAAATTGAAATTCGAAATAAAATAAGCAATCTCCCAAAAATCCGGCCTAAATCGGATTTAAATTGACTTCCTAATTAACAATCGAAATATTACCATAAATAGTAAAAAATAACTAAATCTAGTGATTCGGAGGGGAAAACGGCAGAATTTGAGGTTGAAAAAAAGGCCACATGGAGCATAGCTCATGTGGAGAGCGTGCGCGTCGAAAAGAGCTTTCCGGATTGGGGTCTTATGCGCGATTCTGACACCTGTAGCCAAAGTTATGGCCAAAAGACTGAAACATACTCAAAACGACCCCAATGAGGAACATGTCACAATCAATTCCCGCCTTTGCGCTGATCTGCCAACCCATGGTATCTCAGCGCCATCAACGTGCAATCTGACAGCTCAGCATCATCTGTCTCGGATCCCCCTGCATCAGACCTCCCAAGTAGTTAAAGAAAAAAAACGAAGATTATGACTTAATTTATCTAATTTCAAAACTACCAGGGACCTGAAATATAATTAAACCAGAAAAGTTCCTAGATTAGGGCTTAATTTCTCTAATATGAAAATCAATAGGGAGTGAAAAAGTAAATAAACCAGAGGATGAACTGGTATCTTACTAAAAGATAAATCAGAGTAAACACCACTAACTTTAAACATATAGCGGCGTTTACATTCCAAACGCCACAAAATGGTAACTTAAGCGGCGTTTTTATACAAAACGCCGTGACATAGTAGTACTTTAGCGGTATTTGTATAAAAACGCCGTAATAAGGTTTATAAATAGTGGATTTTTTTAAACAAACGCCGCTAAAGTACTACTTTGTTGTGACGTTTGTTGAAAAAGACCACTATAGATGAACCTATTGCGGTGTTTTTATAAAAACGCCGTTAAAGTACTACTCTGCCGTGATATTTGTTGAAAAAACGCCACTATAGATGAATCCTATTACGGCGTTTTTATACAAAATGACTACTCTGTCGCGGTGTTTTGTATAAAAACGCCGCTTAAGTTACCATTTTGTGGCGTTTGGAATGTAAATGCCGCTATATGTTTAAAGTTAGTGGCGTTTACTCTCAAAACGCCGCTATAGAATAATTTTGCTTTTTCTCTCTTCTTCCTTTTTTTTTTTATCTTGGTCTTATATTTTATCTCTCGAGTTTTATTCTCAACGTCTTTGATTATATTATCAATAATTTTTTATTTAAATTAAATAGAATAAAGTCACAACCACCATCCTCTAAAATTACGCATCTACATTAATAATATCTTAAAAAAAGTTTATATACACATAACGAATTAATGTGTTGAATTTCCCTTTTATTACTTTTGCTTTCATTATGAGTAAAGTATGTAACTGGTTACTCGACTATAGGATATTAATTTATTAAGTCCCTAGAGTATTAACAATTACAAAATGATCACTCAACTATTTATTATGTTCCAAATTCGTTCTTCTAAGAAATTGACGGTATTCTGAACTGAACGTTAACCTGGTGACTGTGTATGATAAAATCTGATCTCATAATCTCAAACAACTATCATATCTCAGCCATCATGTTGACGTCAAACTCAAACAACCGTTAAGTTTTTAAAGGAAAAAGACGAGTTTGAAACATAATAAATAGGCTGATGACAATTTTATAACTTTTAATAGTTGAGAGTCTTTATAAAATAACATTCAATAGTCAGATAATCATTTTATAACTTTTAATAGTCGAAACACTTAATAAATTAATATTCTATAGTTGAAGACCATTTGTCAACTTTACTCTTTCATTATTATACAATATAAGTTTAATCATATTTTTTAACATTTTACTAACAGCCTACACGCTGTGTATTGAAATACTGTCCCGTTCCATTAAACTTCAATATATTTTGTCCTTCTTTATCAATGACATGACTATATTAACGTACTGACATTGATGTGCATCCATGTAGTCAAAGACATCAACCTCAAACCTACGAAACAACTCATCCATGATGTCTTCCCCGAAGTGACTCGACAAAATAGGTTCACCAACCGCTCTAATGTCTTTGGCAATAATTGCAGCCCTTGCTGACTCATCGAGCACCTGGTTGACGTCACCTTTCTTGATGTAATCGTCCCAGTCCAAGTTGAAAACCTCCATTTTTTGCAGCTCGAAGGATCCCTGTGCTTCGATCACGCTTTTGACTTCTTCTCTACTTGCTGCGTAATATGGCAGATTGAAATAAAAAATATGATTAAACTTATATTGTATAATAATGAAAGAGTAAAGTTCACAAATGGTCTTCAACTATAGAATATTAATTTATTAAGTGTTTCGACTATTAAAAGTTATAAAATGATTATCTGACTATTGAATGTTATTTTATAAAGACTCTCAACTATTAAAAGTTATAAAATTGTCATCAGCCTATTTATTATGTTTCAAACTCGTCTTTTTCCTTTAAAAACTTAACGGTTGTTTGAGTTTGACGTCAACATGATGGCTGAGATATGATAGTTGTTTGAGATTGATTGGGCCGGTTTTTTATTTTATAAATTTGGATTTGAGTTGAATCGGATTTTTTAAGAGTATAGTCAGGTCAGGTTCGAGTTTAGGGTGAAAAAAGATCGATCTGATCCGATATAATAGTATAATTATCGATTATATATTTAAGAATAATCATAATAATACACTTTTTATTGTATTTGTTTTCATTTAAGTCTTTGTTTTACCTAATAAAAGTAAATTATATATATATGTGGCGGGTCGGGTGTCGATTTTAACCTAAAATTTTTGGTTGAATTTCAGATCGTGTGCGTGAAGGGGATTTAACTTTCGGGTCGGGTTCAGGTGTGCAAAATGTCTGACCCGACCCTACCTGACATAATATTATAATTATCCCTTATATATTTAGAGATAATTTCAATAATTTATTTTTTATTTTATTTGTTTTCAATTATACTCTTTTTTATGTAATAAAAATGAATTTTATATATAGGACGGGTTGAGTGTAGGTTTTAACCTAGAAAATTGGGTTGAGTATCGGGTCAAGTGCGGAAAGAGGAGGCTTAATTTTCGGATTGAGTTCGGATGTCCCAAAAACTCTATCCTAAATATTAAACCCGGCCAGACCCATGGTCAAACCTAATAGGGTTTCATACATTAGGTCATTGTCTTTAGGGATTCATACCTCGGAGACCATGTCATGTAGTTTCAATCCAACGAATTCCCACATGGTGAGGGGATCACTGCTCTTGATGCTGCCCATGGTTGTTAGCAGCATACAACCACCGGGTACGATCTCATCGGCTCGACACTGGAGAAAGTGTGCGAAATCTCTTTTGAATTGCTTCAAGTATGCTTCGAACACCGCCGGCGGGCTTGTTTTGGCCACGCAAATGTTCCCCTTGTTAAGTGCTGCTCCTGTTTTAGTGACCAACTCCTTCGGAGCCTAAAATCAATACGTTAATTCCTAGTTATATCATGCATGCATGTATGTCTGTATGTATGTACCTTGGAGATCCACATGATGGCATAAGAAGAATGAAAGAAGTGCAAGCTATTAGGAGGGAAGAGTCTGCCGTAGAAAGACCCTGGAACCCCTGAAACGAAGCATTTGTTGCTAAACCTTTTGCCTTTGTCTCGCTCCAGTCTCTCGTAAAAGCTCGGCAATGACAGCTTGAAAATGGCGTTGAAATCATTTCCGGGAAGATCGTTCAAGAATGCTTCTAAACACGGAGGGGTTCGCTTTAATCTCCGGCACGTTTCGTCGATGATGTCAACGATTTCCGACAACACCAAAAGCGTGTTCGGTCCGGCAGAGCAACCTAAATCTGCAATCTTCAGGCAATCTGTAGCGGCTGGCATTGAAGTATAAAGCTCTATTATGCTTTCTCCTAGCACTGGCTTCACCTTTGATATCACATTCCTCTGGAAAACAAAAAGTGCATATATTAAAGAAAATTTCATATAAAAATTATATAAAAATTGTTCGAGTTTAGTTAAATTCGAGTCCAACTCAATGTACGAGAGACAAAACCTCAGTCGAGAACAACACTCAATATTGATGTCTCGACTCTGTGAACCCTAACAAGATACGAGTGTGTAGCTTGCTAGGGTTCTCAATAAAATCGCGCATCGATATAAGAAAACGTTAACGATACTTTACAGACTTCGATCTCTTATCGAAATAACAAAATTAAATACGAGATAACAATAAAGAGAATGTATACATAACTTGAAGAGAGGAACTGTTTCCATAGCTGTATTTCCCCACTCCTCCATTCATATGAAGAACTTGATCAACCTTCATTGCTATACTTTCAAGGCTATTTCTGAAGGCTTTGCTTGCCTTTGGTTAGCGCTTTCCCTTGTATTTATAGGCACAAGCTACTTATGTTATTCCACATGGAGTTTTTATTAAGTTATTTTTATTAATTTGTGGTAAGCATAAAATAATATATGTTTGATATTGAACGTTCACACTCCTGACATTCATTATGCTCAAACACAAGACCTCAAGGAGTAATAAAATTCCTTTACCATTTACCACCAAGGTCGGTTCGGAGTTTTTATTTGGTTAAAAGTATATTGCGGTCACTTTAAATTTTTAAAAATTAAAAAAAAATTATTAAAAAATACCCATCAAATATTTTTTAATGTGAGCACTGTGTATGAACCAAATAATCTCAGTGGTTAAGAGATTCATTGTTCTCTTTAGAGGTCACGGGTTCAACCACTAGCAGGGATATGAACGATCATTGTCAATTGATTGAGAATCTTTGAACAAATATTACCTTGTATTTACTCCATACTTGTAAAAAAAAATAGTGTGAACACTGTTGGGTTGTGATTGTGGACCAAAACGGAGAAAGAGATATTAAAAAAAACACCCATAAATATTTTGTAATAATTCTAGTACTTCACAAAAATATTTGTTTGTTAATTAAATATAAGTAATTAGTATATGCAATTTGTAATAGTTTGATTATCATTGGATGTTAATTAACTGGCTCCTATTAAGTGCGGTTGTTAGATGGGAATATGGTTTCATACTAGTGATGATGTGGGGCACTGGAAACCATTTTAGACTTATTATTACTATTAGATTAATGGGTAAACTACGTATTTAACATTTAAACTATAATTTTGGTCTGTTTTAATATATAATTTTTTTCATCATAGCTAGCATTTGATTTTTGTTTCGTTTTAGTATCATGCTAAAACCTTAACATTAAGTTTTTTTTTTTTTAAAATTGAAAGTTTAGGTACTAAAACATATAAAAACTGATAGTTTAGGTACTAAACGCGTTAAGTTTTTAACGACGGGATACTAAAATGAAACAAAAACTAAATGTTAGGTTTGATTTTGAATTTTTTTTAAGTTTAGATACTAAAATAAACCAAAATTGATAGTTTAGGTACTAAACACGTTAAGTTTTTAACTACGGGATACTAAAATGAAACAAAAACTAAATGTTAGGTTTGCTTTTGATTTTTTTAAAGTTTAGATACTAAAACAAACCAAAACTGATAGCTTAGGTATTAAACGTGTAATTTACCCTAGGTTTACATGAAAATTAAATATTTAAATTACGTATCATCCTTAGTACTTATATATAGTTTTTTTTTATCAAAATATACGTCTTATCTTTGTCATACTAATTACTCTCCAAAGTTTCTAATGACTTCAAATTTCGTACGGGATCATAAATTAAATCGAAATATTTAAAATTAAATTTAATATTGATCTTCATATATATATTTTTAATTTTTTTTCCTAGAATGATAGTTATTTTTCAAGAAAATGAAGTAAAATGGAAACATAAATGGCTGTTTGATTGCCAAGAAAATGAAGAAAAGTAAAGTTTTAAACTATCTTCATCTAATTTTTGTTTTCTTTATCTGAAATTAATATTCGGTTGTCAAGAAAATGATAAAAAAAAAACCTTTTTTAATTTTCTGAAAAACGATTATTTGATTATCCTGAAAATGAATGACCGTACCGTAATATTGTCAAGAAAAAAAGGAAAAAAATAAAATTTTAAGTAACATATATTTAACAAAAATTAATTTTTAACTAAATAAAGTCATTAATTAATCGGTCTCTGCATGTTTTATCCCTTATATTTTATGAACACAAGTTGCATGTGTTTACATGTTCTATAACAACAACAACAACAACAATAATAATAATAATAATAATAATAATAATAATAATAATAATAATAATAATAATAATAATAATAATAATATGTGTGTGTAAAGTTTTAGATTAAGACGGTGTCACATGTTGACTCAATAATAATATATATGAATTTCATCACTACCCTTATGTCATGTGTAGTCAGTCATAGTGTATAAGAAAGTAAGGCTTAGCACATCATTGGGGGTGTGGATTAGGGATGATTAATGAGTTGAACAGTTCGAATTTTATTCTGTAAAAATTTGGTAAAATATCGATTTGAATTCGAGCTCGATTCGAAACTTTACAAGTCGAGTTGAATAAAGTTCAACTCGACTCGATAAGTTCACGAGTAGCTTGTCAATATTTTTTATATGAATTTTTTAGTAGTTGTCTTAAAAAACTATTTCATTAAAAAAATTACTAATATACTAATTGATAATAAAAAAAGATGATAGATTAAGAATCTATTAATTTTCTAATAAACAACAAAAAATACTAAATTATTAATTAATATTTTACTACACTTAAAAATCAAACCCTATTTATTATTTTAATGTATGTATGAATCGTTACTTTGGAGTTTTGATTTTGAAATTGTTTCATACACTCTTTTTGATAACTTTTTGGGTTAAATTTATTAATTTATATTTATTTTAAGTTCTATATACTATTAGTAGATTTTACCTATAGTTAAGAAAATAAGGTAAAAATTTCGGTAAGTTTAACAAGCATCGAGCTTAATGAGCAACAAGTTTTTTTAACGAGCGTGAGTCGAATAAAATTTTAACGAGCTTAACAAGCAACGAATCGAATCGAGCGATAAAGCATTTTAACAAGCACAAATCAAACATTGCCCGACTCTCTCGATAATCACCCTAACGTGGGTATGGTTGAGATTAAGAGCAGGGGCGTGGTTGGGGCGGCGCGAACTGCGCGACCGCGCAAGGCTCCCAAAAAAGTATATATATAGTGGAAAATAATGTCAATAATCAGTTGCATTGTCAGCCCAAAGGGATAACTAAACATCCAATAAGAAAGTATGAACATTAGGTGGGCTCAAGTTCATACTCGTCCAACATTTTTTTTCTTTTTGTTTAATCTGGTAAATGTTGACTATCATATTATTTTTTCCTCTTAATGTGACTTTTGGACCAAAGTTTTTGTCATTTGACCGGTACGGTACTAACGTGGTTGTCCACGGTGCTAACATGATGATTCACGATGTTGATGTTGTAGTCCACGATAGTTGATAACGTGACAGATAATATAATAAATAGGTTAAATTGGTAACTCAAACATGACAAATTGATTGTCACGTCAATACTGTAGACCGTCACCTCAGCACCGGAACGGTCAAACGACGAAATACATTGGTCAAAGGGTCACATTGGGTTTATTTCCTGAGTTGGAGGGCTATATTGAGAGAAAAAATAATACAAGTGTCACATTAGTTTTTAACGTAAAGGGACCTCTGATGCATTTTTACCTAAATTTAAATTTGATTCAATCTAATATAATTTTTTATAAAGAAATATCATATATAATCGAGTCAAGTCGAAACCCGTCGAATCTAAATTTCATATTCATCCTTAATCATTCTTAAATATTAAAACAGAAGTAATCAAATTAATATTCGATAGAGGTTTAACTTATTTCTTGTATAATGGGAAACAACTACTTACCCAACAGCGAATCAAAGTAGACGTGCATGTCAATTGCCTAGATTCTAATTCTGATAAGAACTTGTGTGCACAAACCTAAACCAAGTGGGCAGACAAGATTATCCAAAAACTGCCCAAAGAATAAATTAAAAAAAAAAGGTAAAGTATACAAATGGTCTTTGTTGAGCCATTATTTATTAAAAGTTATAAAATGGTCATCCGGCTATTTATTATGTCCTAAACTCATATTTTTAAGTTAACATTTTGACGGCAGTCTTAGTTGCACGTTAACTTGCTGACTTAGATATAATCAAAAATATGATATCATAATCTCAAATGACTAACATATCTCAGTTTATATGTTGACATACAGTTTAGACGAACAATAATTTTCTATAAAAAAAAGGAATTAGTTTGGAATATAATGAATAATCGAATGACCATTTTGCAACTTTTAATAATCGAATGACTCAACAAAGTAACTCTCTATGATCGGAGAGACTATTTTATAACTTTTAATAGTCAAAGACATCAATAAAATAATATCTTATAGTCGATGACCATTTCTATACTTTATAATTATGATTTGTTGGAATTATAATTTATGCCTAAACGCAACACCAGTGTGAGTAAAACCCAGCAGGCAACCTATTGTTTATGTTTTAATTTTGGGTAAACTTTTTATTTGGTCATCCACATACTCTTGATTTTTATTTTGGTCACCTAGTTATTTTGCTTAAAATCGTATCTAAGGTTACTTTTTATTTTTGTTTCGATTACCAATTTTTAAAAAATTAATGGCGACACAGAAGTTGTATTTTTTATTTTAATGTCATTATCCTTTTATTATTTTTAATTAATTTTATTCTACCAATAAAGTAGTGACATATGAAAATTAAAATAATAAAAAGGGGGTAAAGTACACAAATAGTCCCTACCTATAGGGTATTGTTTTATTAAGTCCCTCAACAATTAAAAGTTATAAAATGGTTCTTCAACTATAGAGTGTTGCTTTGTTGAGTCTCTCGACTATTAAAAGTTACAAAATGATTACTTAACTATTCATTATGTTCCAAACTCATCATTTTTCCTTTAAAATTTGACAGCATTCTTAGTTGAACATTAATCTGTTGATTGTGATATGTTAAAATTTGATCCTAGAACCTCGAAGACTATCATATCTCATTCATCAATTTAACGTCCAACTTAGACAACCGTCAAATTTTTAACGAAAATGGATGAGTTTGGAACCTACTAAATAGTCGGATGATCATTTTGTAACTTTTAATAGTCGATGGACAAAACAAAGTAACATTTTATAATCGGAGGAAAATTTTGTAACATATAATAGTCAAATGACTTAATAATACAATACATTATAGTCGGGAGACCATTTGTGTACTTCACCCCAGAAAAATATCATCTCAACGGCACCATTAATTTTTTTAACTGCGAACAGTCAAATTAACTCTTAATATTAATGTCAGATATAGAGTTATGATACTACTCATAGGTCGAAAAACCTAATTAATGTAGTAAGTTATCAATTGATCGTGACTCTGATAGATCATGTGATATCTATAAATCATAATTTTTCGACAGATGCAAAGCTCTGAAGGTTTATGTCTGAAAATACCCTTCTAAAATGTAACTGCTCGAAGAACAATCTCTTATATAGATTTATGGGAAAAAAAACATAAAAATAACTCAAGAATAAAAGCTCAAATTGATTCGAATTTCTGTGTAGTTAAATCCGGCATCTAAGAGGATACGATTTTCTAAAGAACAAAATTCAGATTTCAGAATACATTCCGAAACCATGATGACATATCAGCCATATGCTAAAGGGTAAAAATGGTATTACAGTTGGAAAATTCTTAGGGTAAACTACGCATTTAGTACCTAAACTATTAGTTTATTCTTTTTTAGTATCTAAACTTTCATTTTTTCCAAAACTATACTTAAAGTTTAGTTTTTGTTTCATTTTAGTACCCGCCTTTAAAAACTTAACGCATTTAGTACTTGTACTATCAGTTTTGATCCGTTTTAGTACCTAAACTTTCAATTTTTTTAAAAATATTTAACATTAAAATTTGAACGGGATACTAAGATGATACAAAAACTAAACTTTATGTATAATTTTAAAAAATTAAAAATTTAGGTATTAAAATAGACTAAAACTGATAGTTTAAATACTATCTCGTATGTGCATCAAATCAAACTTTCGGAATCATAATATCCGGAAAATCTAAAACAAGAATAATCATTTTATATTTTCGATATTCGTTAAATTAATAATTAGAAAAACTCAATTATCAGCTTATCAAATAAGAATATTTCAAAACTCGTAATTTAAGAAAGTATTATGAAGTTATCATGTGATTAATTAAACCATGTACATGATAGTCGTATTATGAACATACATACAAATCATACACTATGGTAAAAAGGGTGCACCGATTCACTCTAAATCTTTATAAATCACCGAGTATTCTTCTTCCCTTAGTAGCTTCTTTTGCCTGGCAATGAAGGCCTCGATCGTGTTTCGGAACTGCTCGTTGCTCATTCCATCCTCCGGACACGAACTCTTCGCCGGTTCCTCTTCGGGATCGCCGTGTTTGACGTACTTTTCCGATCCCAATCTCTGAAGTTGGTTGCAATGTTGTTTGTGATCACTTTTTCTTTTCAGATTCTCTGATTTCGTTCTTCGCATACTCTTCGTTCCCTTCGGAGTATTTACGTTGAGACTAATTATTCTCTTCTCTTCGCCCGACGGTACACTTTTTCTCTCTGTTTCATATCGATGAACCGAGTGATTTTTCTCCCTAGCCTCGACGAACTCCTCGTAAAGATCGGTCCTCGAAGCCGAAAACTGCCCGGCCTTTGCGAAGAGAGTGATGACAATAACGTTACCGACGACGAACACGAACCGGGGGCTGACTAAAAGAACTGATAACCCACGGAAATACTTGCCGAAGGCGACGGGGAGATGAGTTGTGAACCGGGAAATCAACACGAGAAGGACACAGACTTCAACGAACCTCAACAAGTTGGCTACCTTGCACAACTGGTGTTGCTTCGACATCGCGTTTCGCTTTTCGAGTTTGATATCAAATGCGTCCATTCTACGAGACAGGGCAAGAAAACGCAAGGAAATCGAAGGAAAAATCTGGGAATTTTTTTCTCAGTGGAAAGAGAGTTAGAGGAGTGTCCTTTAAGTAGAGGAAGTATGAAAGTGTGGATTTTTTTAACAAAACCGAGGATATGGTATTCCTGTAATGGATTAAATTCTATTCTCCTGTCTTTTCCAGTGTTGTTTAATGTATTGTTTTAATATATATAGACATAGGGATTTTTTTTGGGGTGAGGAATATGAACTTTTTCAAAATAAAAAATATTATATTCCATCTTTTATTTTTGCTTCTATTTGGGTAAAGAACCCAAATGGTCCCTTACTATAGGGTATTACTTTATGAAGACTATCGATTATTAAAAGTTATAAAATGGTCATTTGACTATAGAGTGTTGCTTTGAGTCCATCGACTATTAGAAGTTACAAAACGGTCACCGACTATTCATTATGTTTCAAACTCGTCCTTTTCCGTTAAAACATAGACGATTGTTGAGTTGAACATTAACTTGCTGATTGTGATATGATAAACTTTGATCCCAAAATCTCAAATGACTATTATATCCCAATCATCGTGTTAACATCCAGCTTAAACAACCGCCAATTGTTTAATGGAAAAGGACGATTCTGGAGCATAATGAATAGTAGGGTAACAATTTTATAACTTTTAATAATCGAGAGATTCAAGAAAGCAACACTCCATAGTCAAAGGATCATTTTATAACTTTTAATAGTCGAGAGACTTAATAAATCAATACATTATAGTCAGATGACCATTTGCTCTCTTTACCCCCTCTGTAACCCCCTAGACCCAACATATACGTTTCGACCATATCTAACTGATTACAATATAAATTTTCAAAATAATTTTCACACTTTAAAAACCAAAACTTCTTTAAAACATGATTTAATATTGAAACTCAAATCAAATAATATAAAACATGAAAGGGGAAACGAATGAGGAGTGAGCTAGGGAGCCTATCCAAAATATTTGAAAGGGAAAGTAAATAAGCCATCAAAAGTGAAAGTAAATAAGCCATAAACCAATATATCAAAATAATAGGCACATGTCACCATAATAAATGCAATTCGGAAGACTGAAATATTATGAAAAAAAATTACTGTACGGAATATGTTGATCCTCCCAGTGCATGTTATGGAAGCCTATCCAAAATATACGATAGGGAAAACAAAGGAGGAGTGAGCTAGGGAGCTCAAAGTGTTCCAATAAGTGTAGAAATAAACATGTTGATACATTTCAAAACTGATTTCAGAAATCACATAGTAAAAATAACCATATAGTTTTAATTTAAAACACCTAGCTACCCTCCACTTGTACACTATATGAAATACCCCAAAACAGGAATCTTTAAGGACTTACCTTAGACCACTAAGAGCTAGGAGTCCAATATAGAATATACATGCATCCATAAGGACTTGCCCTAAACCATTAGAAATCCAATATAGAATATCACAATAGGCAGGAATTACTAACTAGTTGAACCTCAGATTCTCCAAACACCTACATAAATCCATCGTCTTTTTAAGAGGAAAAAAAAGAGTCCATAATCTTTATTATTTATTTGGGTAAATTATGTGTTTAATACCTAAACTATTAGTTTTTATCTGTTTTAATACTTAAACTTTTAAATTTTAAAATTATACCTAACGTTTAACTTTATTTCGTTTTAGCACCTCGCTGTTAAAAGTTGAATGGGTGATTTGCACATGACACCCATTTTATGGGTAAATTACATCATTTTTCATTCAACTATCTTCTCACTCCTATTTTAGTCACTAAAGTTTAATTTTTTTTAATTTAATTACTTAACTTTCAAATTACTCCTAATTTAATCATTCAAAATTTCAAATTTATTTTTCTTATTTCTAATTATATGTTAATAAAATAATAATAATAATAAATGTCATGTCACAAAAATTATTAATAAAATAAACTAGAGTGATTAAAATAGGAGCAATTTAAAAGTTGAGTAGTTAAATTGAATTTTTTTTAAACTGTAGTACCAATATATGAGTGAGAACATAGTTGAGTGATGAGTGATGTAATTTACCCATAAAAATGCAGTGTCGTTAAATTTTTAACGACGAGATACTAAAACGAAACAAAAACTAAATGTCAGGTATAGTTTTAAAAATTGTAAAAGTTTAGGTACTAAAATGGATCAAAACTGATAGTTTAGATAATAAATGTATAATTTACCCTATTTATTTTTAGTATAAACATTGATATCCGATCGATTGGATTGATGTTATAAAAATTCATTATAACGTGATTTTGTTAACATGATTTTTTTTTATTCACAATATTAAAATTTAAATACGTAACCTTATTTAAAATACCTAGCATCTCATAATGCTAAATCAAATAATAATTATTATCCATACTCTTTAATAATAATAATAATAATAGTAATAATAATAATAATAAAAAACTTTAATCGGGGATTTAAATAAACCTTTTCTTTTCTTTCAGAAATTAATGTTGCTACTTGTCTTACTCGTAAAGGATTGATAAAGAAGCATGAACACATGGATAAGGGCAAAAAAACCCAAATCGATTTAAATGTCTAATTATGTTCTCAACACATGCACTCTTCAAACTTTTGAAATTTAGCATTTTATTTTCGATTATTTGAATTAGGCCCTCAATACATTTAAATTATTAACGATTCAATTTCTTCACAAATTAAATATAAGGTAAATTACGCATTTAGTACCTAATTATCAGTTTTATTATCTAAACTTTCAATTTTTTAAACCATACATAACGTTTAGTTTTTGTTTCATTTTAGTATTTCACTGTTAAAAACTTAATGAGGTTGCATTTTTTATGGGTGAATTACATCATTTATCTCTCAACTATCTTCTCGCTCCTATTTTGATACTAAAGTTTAATAATTTTCAATTTAACTACTCAACTTTTAAATTGTTCCTATTTAATCACTCTAATTTATTTTATTAATAATTTTTGTGACATTAAATTTATTATTATTTTATTTTATTAATATATAATTAAAAATAAAAAAATTTGAAAGTTAGAGTGATTAAATTAGGATTAAATTGAAAGTTATGTAATTAAATTAAAAAAAATAAAACTTTAGTGACCAAAATAGGAGTGAGAAGTTAGTTGAGTGATTAATGATGTAATTTACCCATTAAAAAAGAGGACCACATGCAAATCACTTTTTCAAGGTTTTAATGACGAGGTACTAAAACGAAACAAAAACTAAATGTTAGGTATGATTTTAAAAAAATTGAAAGTTAAGGTACTAAAACGAACCAAAACTGATAATTTAGATATTAAACTTGTAATTCGCCCTAAAATTTATAAAAAAATTGAAGATTAGAGCAACTGTGGGAATAATTAAACCAATGTTTTGTTTTTTCATTTTTAAAAATAAAATAAAATATAGTGATGGAATAGTTGAAATAGGAGCAAGAATCAGCATAAAAATAATAAATGGGGTGATGAGATTATTCTTCTGATAATTATGCCTTTGGTTGTGTTACACGTCAGCACTCAAATCAAGCATACGTTGGATTCCTGGATTATTGAGTTGGAATCCCACTATTTTTCCTTTTCAATTTGATTCTCTTTAATTTACCAATAAGCTAAAAAAGCATAATTTGGGAACTATATTTTAATACAATGTTTAGTTTATTTAGATTCCTTTTCACTTTGCACGAAACGAGTCATCTTAGTGGTAAATAAATTATTGTTATTTCTTGAAGTCTCGGGTTTGAGCAGATATTGTCTTATACATAGCCCAGATGAATAAAAGTCAGGGGGTGTAAGCGTTCAATATTAAATGGTTAAGAGTTATCTATAAACAAGTATTGTCTTATACTTAACTCAGATTAATAAAGGAAAACGATTCCTCTTCACTTTAAAGAAGAGAACTTTAAGCACCTAATATGTGTGAGTATATGTTCTCATTTATGTTACATTGATAATGATACTAATCAAATACCATATTTCAAAAAAGGGTAAAATACACAAATAGTCCCTCGAATATAAGATATTATTTTATTAAATCCTCCGACTATTAAAAGTTATAAAATAGTCCCCCAACTATAGTGAGTTGCTTTACTGAGTCCCTCGGCTATTAAAAGTTACAAAATTGTCATCTGACTATTCATTATGTTCCAAACTCGCCCTTTATTGTTAAAAAATGAACGATCGTCTGAGCTAGATGTTAACGTGCTGATTGAGATATGATAGTCGTTTGAGATTATGAGATCATATCTTGGTCGGCAAGTTAACGTTCAGCTCAGATTGTTATTAATTTTTAACATAAAATGACTAGTTTGAAACATAATAAATAGTCAGGTGATCACTTTGTAACTTTTAATATTCGAGGGGGTTAACAAAGCAACTCCCTATAGTCAGAGGGCTATCTTGTAACTTTTAATAGTCATAGGACTCAACAAAGTAGTATCATATAGTCAGAGGACCAATTGTGTACTTTACCCTTAAAAACATTGACCTCAATGATTAAAAAATAGTTATCATTCTTAGAGATCACGGGTTTCGAGCACCAAAGACTGCTATAGGAGTGATAGATTTAATCGACTTAATGAACTAACTTCAAACTCTAACCCTTAATATCAAACTTATAAGAATAAATATTGGATTATAAAGTAAATTTACATATCAAGTCATAGATTAAAACCTCGAATCTTCATAGACTTCCAATTTTTTATTCTCTATTTTGATTGTTTATCAATTAAATTATAGTATTAAAATCATATAAAATTTAGATAAAAAAAGTTGATAAAATCGTATACAAATTAATTGTGTTTCCACTTATAATTATTTATTAAATAAATTTTATTTTTTACATTAAGTATTTGGGTAAATTATGCGTTTAGTATCTAAACTATCACATTTGGTCCATTTTAGTATCTAAATTTTTAATTTTTTTCAAAATCATGCCTAAGAATTAGTTTTTGTTTCATTTTAGTATCCCGTTAAAAACTTAACGTTAAATTTTGAAAACAATTGAAATTTTAGGTAATAAAACGGACAAAAACTGATAGTTTAAATACTAAAAGCGTTAAGTTTTTAACAGCGGGTACTAAAATGAAACAAAAATTAAAAGT